TTCCGACCTCATTCACCAGGCTTGCCGCAGGGCCACTTTGGGAAGAGCGAGGACCGCACATCCTGCACAGTATTGCCCAGGCGAGATACTAACACATAACACATCTGAACCAGTGAGGGAGTCACCACAAATTTCCTTGGTAGCAGTTTTGATGGTCTTGTGTGGTCTTGTCTGGTCCCGTTGCGTTCTCAGTCTCAAAACGAACCTGTCTTGAATTTCAAATGCAACATGTGGTAAGGTGCCCCGATGTGCCGAGTGAATCGAGATGGGCCTGGCCTGGTCTGCGTTTGGGGAAAAGGCTGAGGCTGTGGTTCCGGGCTTTCCACCACACCTCAGCAAGCTGACACCCTGGGCTCCGAGATGCTCGAGTCCACACGTCAGGCTTTGATCTCCCTTTTGAGACGTACATGGTGCAATTGAATGCAATTGAGACGCGCATTGTGGAAGTGAAAGCCAACATGCCACGAAACTCAAACCATTCTAGTCTCTTTCATCATGCTACTAGTTGAGGAATGGAGGAAACCCTGCCTGAAATAACATGAAATAACGAACAGCGATAACAGTGACTAGCAAGCCACTAAGATCCACTGAGCTACTCCTTGGCGTTGGAAAATTCAACTTCGTCTCTGAGCTGCCGGGCATGTTGGGGACTTGATTGAGGCAGGTCACCTTGCCGGGCAAACTGACCGCAGCACTTGCAAAGAACCTTTATATTTCTTGATATGTCTTGATATATCAGCAGCTGGTTTATCAGCATACAATATCCATCAATATCTTCACATATCTTCTCCTTGATTGGATAACTCCTGGTTGGGGGTGCACACCACTTGATAAACATTAGGTTCCATAGAATGGAACGTATCAGGGAAAATAGTACAGATGAGTAATGTTCAAAGAGTCATAGCAATCATTTTCCATAAAAACACAAGGCTACTCCGTTTTATAGAGGTCCAATCAATGGAAACCTTTACATCATATTTTCTTGCGTCTGACTGGCAATAATTACAACTTTTGACACACAGTCACGCATCACCTTGCAAATACACTATGCACATTAATATGACTCCACGAAACAGCCAACACCAATATCTTACACTTCTCACACCGTCCATATGTTAAGCGCCATTGCATATTGTCTTGGGATGTCTTGGGTTGGAAAAGTTTGCAGCGCATTAAACTTTATGGTACACCGTATGTCAGTACAGGACGTTGTCTGCTTCAGGATAATTGTGTAGTTGGATGCTGTTGGATGGCTCAGCAGGCTTCTGCCAAGATTGAAATTTGAAAGGCTTCGTGATCTTCTTGCACGCTCTCTCATGAAGCAGCACTCTAGCAAAGTTGTGAGCTGCCACCTCCTCCCGATCGCAGTGTCCAAAAAGATTGCAGATCAGCTCGAAGTCCCTGGTTGTTGGAATGCGGAGGCTCTTAGAGCAAAATGACACTGGATCGTCAAAAAAGAAAAATAACTCAATATCTCAAAAAGTGAAATCAGCCGCAAGCAGGAAACAAGGCCGAAAGGAACATTTAAAGGACCCCTTGTCACATTTGTTGTAGAGTTTGATGCTGTACAACCCTTTTGACGCCTAGTGTAAGTCGGCCCAGCCTTGCATAGACCTGTCGAATGAGAGCCTTTACATCATCTGCAAGGGTGTACGCACCTTGAACCAGTGCCAAAGGAAAACCACAATCAAAACAGTGATAGTGTATGAAGACTTTCACACATTGAAGAATGTCACATATCATATTCTGATACTCTTGTCACTTGTTCATGCAGCTCAAACATGCTGAAATACAAGCAAGGAGGCGCGAGGGGCAGTCAATTTCTTGCTACGTTAAGGATCGAGCTGATGTTGTTGCACACGTAGTTGTGCAAGGTATTGCCCGGCCTTGCCCAGAAAATCGGGTCAATGCAAAATTAAACTGACATCTACTGAGTATACTGAGAAAACTGGCTATGGCTGCATGCTCACAGCTAAACATGTCCTTGTGGTTCTACCTCCTGCATTCAAAAAATCACTGGCTACGGCGGGGCCACAATTCACAGCTTAGCCAGGAGAATTCGAGAGAGCTTGGAATCTAAGAGGTCGGCATGGAAATGTTGAAGTAGCCTCGCTGGACCCTCGGAACACTTGGCTCAATCCCATCAATCCAATTGGATCCAATTGGCACAAGCAGTCCAGGAATCCACAGGATAGTCCAGGTGTGTGGCAGGGTGGCAAGAACACAAATTGCACGAATGGGCTGCATCAGTTTCTAAACGATTTATATACAGTAGATTACAGTAGTAGATACGGGTACGATGGACTGAGGAAGAGCTGAGGTACTCCTACAACATGCATCAACAATAGACAATAATAGGTTTCAATCATCATAACATCCCATTCCACCCTAATGGATCCTCATGGCACTTGCATTGGCTATTTGCAAATCAACAAGGTGAAGGTGGCAGTTGCAGAACAGCACGTTCTGGAAATGTATGATATTTGCCGCGGGAACTGTT